TAATGAACGCTATTAAATTATTATTAAAGAGTGAGTCGGCGGAGGGGCAACCTCTTAGTACAAAATTTGAAGCTACGAGACGCCCTGAGGTAATAGGGATATAGTTTGAGAGTAAAAAAAGCTAGGGTTTATGTACAAATGACTGCAAATGCCAGCACCTGCTGCTAAAAAAGATGGGTAGATGAAAACTTCAACGCGATAATAACTAAATAAATGGTACTATGACTTAGTAAACCAATTGAAAAAGATCGCCAGTACTGGCTGAGAATTCATTATACAAAAGCAAGAAGTAGAAAAGCCTGAGAAGACGGGTAACGGTCCTCTGGCTAACTAATGTGACAAATCTGGGTTTGAGATCCAGTATTATTAAAACGAGATGCCTCAAGCTACAACCGGCCAAACGACTAATTGAAGTGCTTTATAGTCTTACCTTGAAGGAGATTACAAGGACTACTACGAGGAGTTACCAAGGTTGTTTTTGAACACTACACGACAGGCATAGACTATGCACCCCATCGACACGTAATCCTCAGTCATCGAAATTGGGGGTAGAATACAGCTCTGCTGACGCTAAATTTTAGCAGTCTACTCACACTCCCACATTTCGTCATCGCCAAGACGTGAAGCTGAAGTCGGATTTATTGCACGACAGGAGAAATACAGTACTCGCTTCAAGTTCTTGTTCCATAAAAAGTAGTTCAACGACCACATAACACCGTCTTCACCGAAAGGCCCGCTGCAACCAGCCGTGTAACTGAAAATGAGAGTCCTGATCTTGTGTCTCGCTTACAAACAGAAATGAAGTGAAAGCGCCTGGCTCAAGTTTAAGTTTAATTTCACTAAAAGGACCGCTAAGTGAAGCAGAGAGGAACATACCTGTAAACTTTGCAGTCTTGAAGTTGGATTTTCTGGTCAATTGTGGCCCACATTGCGGGTTTAAGATCACTATAATTAATGACAGTAGGCGTAAACACTCCATCCACTAAACTCATCAGATCCTGAATATAAATTATTTTGAAACCACTCAAGAGAAGCAAACGGATAAGATTACTCTCCACGTGTTTCACTTATAAGCTAACCTGAACTGTAGGTATTAAAGAGAATGCATCACTTTTTGCATCTGAAAAGTCGTAATCCGGGTAAGAAGCAGAAAGTACGCAGCTTAAGTCAAATAGCGTACGTTTCGGTATGGCATCAACATACTCTACTTCTCCCTAAAAAAGTCGACTTAATAAAATATAGAACTAAAGGGGATAAGACATCACTTCGACTGTACAAAAAAACAACAAATCTATGCTACATCATGAACATCAATGTCGGAGAGAGAGCTTGCTGGGTCAGACTCATGGTGTGAACGGGGACCGAAGTAAGAGCGTTCTGACACATGGCGCGGTCTGTCGCTAACCCATGTCTTCGGAGGGGATAATGACGTCGAAAATATATGATTGTAATGTGATAATGGTAACAGATCAGCTTCATGGTTCTGTACAACACGTTTCCACCTCTTCTTATCAGCTCGAATCATTTTGCAAGAGTAGGCTTCCATCCTAGAGTTCAAAAATATGATGATAATAGAAGAGAAAACAGATTCCTAAAAAATCAAATATTGATGTATGCTAAGAAATATCCCCATAAACTTTGTAAAATCAAGTGCGCAACGGAGTGCACGTGGGAATACATATTCAGTCTAGAAAAAAACGTGGAAGTATTGTATGATCTCTCAGTTACTTTGCAACGTTGACTATTAGCAAGAATTTCACACTTGTATAAAGTAGAACCCCCTGAAGCCGGTAAGCTGCTTAGCAGTTAAAAAAAAATAGAACCTAAAAGCAAGGCGAACGAACTGGTTCATTCTATTCATTACGTCCAAAATCATTTTAAAAGGCTTCCAAAAATGTATACAGGAATTTAATAAGTCGAAGTTTATCGAAATGAAGAGTGAGAGTACCTTATATCCAACTTACAACTTCTAGCGTTCTCCATAAGCGTAGAACATAACCACTCTAGTTCTGGATTATCCAACAGCTTCATTTTCACAGTTGCTGAATGAAGAAAATGACAAAATAAGGATCAAGTTTTTATTCTATGTGAGGACGACCATGTACAATTATATTTAGATCAAAGTAAAAGAGGACGAAAGATGGACGTCTGGTAAAACGCTAATGCATCAAAGAAATATAAGGATGTTTTGCACTGAAGCAATTTTTAAAAGCCAAATAAAAATCAGTATTACTTGGAACCAGGCTTACAAAAAATTCTGGCTGGATCGTAGAGCGGCAAAGCTTATTTCTATTTCTCATCGCCTGTTTCGTTTCAAAGATTAATGAGCGAACAGAAAAAACAGGCAGGGCACAGAGACGTACAGTGAGAAGTAGTGGCATTTACTTGCGTATGAAGGGATTGCAAGTTGAGAGGGAAATTTGGTGAAAACAATCAGATGCAAGTCGACAAGTATTTTTGCTGAGAAAAATTACTTATGAGTAGTATACCATCCATCTTTTCTTCCTTTTGTTTATCAACTTCTGTTCAAAAAGTTCCAAAAACGACAGTGAACTCATCTGTTGGCAATAACTTGTAAATACATATTTCGACAAACAACCGAGGAACCGTTACGTAATGTATAAGTGGAAACCAAAAAAAAAGACATATATGAATGCTGTGGAAATGATTTTTCGTTCTTCTATTTTCACTTTATCGGCCAATCAAATGAAGAAAGAATTTTAAAGTGAAGCAAAGACGCAGCTGAAATGAAGAATATAACAAAAATAAGAGCAAGGTTAAATGACCAAGATGTTAATGTAAGTACAGATCACTGATCAGCTCCTAAAGAAACACAATTATGTACAAATTTCTAAATGAGTAAAAAATACTTTCCAATAAAATCGCATTTAAAAACATTGATAGTAATCTACAATCAAGTTTTTTCTTGCAAGTTTTTCAGAAGGAAAATTCCTACTTCACTGCGTTTTCATTAAGCAGATTCAATAATGCCAGTGCTTGAAAGACTGCTAATTCCAGCAAAAAAAAACGACGGCAAATAATACACGATCTTTGAGACCATTTTTTTTCAATGTTGACGACGTACCAGCAATATGCGCTCACGTGACGTCCGATATTCGGGGTCCGAATTAAAGACAACCAAGTGTTAAAACTGAATGCTCTCTGTACGCAGTGAAAAAAAATGTTCATTGTTGTTGATTTTTTGTTCCATATGCTTCCGTACGCGCAGCTTTCGCAGAAGTATGCTTTAATTGGCAAAGGTCCAGTGCTGTGCTGTTATATGCAATTTGGCTTGCAGCCATTGTTGAGCCATACGTTCCGCTATATCCTGACTGTGACGTCATAGTTGGGACGATAATTAACATTGCTGAAACATCTGTGACCGGTGAGGATCTTGCACATGTACAGGCAGGCATATATTACGCAGGTTATAGTACTTTTAGTCACCCCGTGGTTATCTTTGTTGTCTCTACGTCATAAAGTCATCAAGCATAATCATTTTGTTTGTGTATAAGCTTAAGTGTAACATTTCCTTAATACTTTGTAAGGTCACCGGTAAATTTCAAGTTGCCTCTTACCTAAATGATACTTTACAGTATTACCCTTTGCAAAAACTTTCATATGTGTTCGGCGCACACAAAACAATACCTTGCTTAAATTTCAAAAAAAGGAATTTTTTGTTTTTCTCTTGGAAAAACTAAGATTACTGAAACACAGGAAAAATTTAAAGAACTTAAAGAAAGATACTTGAGAATCTTATCACTAGCCAAGAAAGTAATCTGTGCACTTGCTGTTTATAAAAATGCTATTTAGAAAAAATTTTATAGGAACTTAGATGTAAGAAATCCCACAGTCCGAGAAATTATTTTTCTACTAGTACGCTCTCTTACCCTTGCGTGTTTTTTTTTTTTATTGCTATTTTTTAATCAGTCTAGATCCAGAAGACTTGGCGCTAACTTTATGCGAATTGTAGTAGTCCGGAATTAATAACGTGGTAGAAGTCAAGCGAGTTTTCAGTTTTTTTAGAAGGTTCTATGACCCATAAAATTTTTAAACTGCATCATGCACCATTTTATTGAGGATGTCTTCTCAAAGCTTGTAAAATATCTTGCTTTTTCGCTGCCGATGGAGAAAAGTTGTCCTAGTTTACGCCGAAACAAGTCATGACTGGATACGCTATTCAACTAGTAAATGTAACATTTTGGATTCCTGGTAATGTAGGGGAGGAGTTAAACAAACTGTGCAGTGAAACACTTTTCCGGCCTATTAGCTTAATTTGGCCTCCGCTAAACTTAATTTTCAAAAATCATCCATTTTTGTAGGGAACTTTCCAAGTTTAGTAGACGTTTAACGGTTTAGAAAAATTTTTGCTACTCCTTGCATTGTTCCCAAGCACCCCACGGTTTTTTTAAAGTCAAAGGGAACTGTCGTTTTTTTTTAAACTCCTGCTACGGCCAGTAGGTTCCAGTGATAAACGTTTGCTGAAGGCTCACTGCTATGAAGCAGTAAGTTCTAAAAAGGAACCAGTGATGGCAAGAAGATATTTCTGATTGAGGTTTTTGGAGCTTGCTGCCCTTTTTAAAAATAATGTGTTTCTTTAGATTAGATTAAAACTGTGCAATTGTTTTTAAAAAAATTAATTAGAATTTCATAACCTGAAAAGAAATGCTAGAACTGAGAGGACTTGGCAATACTCACCGATTATAACTCAGTAGAATGTTACCTTTGTCGGTTTTTTAGTATTAGCTGTATCATTAAGTTTCGTTACGCTTTGAGGTTTTACGAACTGCAGTCAGTCAGCAGGAGGTTTTTGTTAAGAGTTACTAGGCTTTATAATAGTTGCAAGGGTAATTTCACCATTGGGTTGGTGCATTTGGGTTGAGAAAGAAGAGTTTGTACTACTGTTGCATATTGCTTGTTTGAAATCTTGCTTGTAGGTTTAAGTTATCAGTTAACTACCTCATGAGGACCTATGTACAGTTGGGTGGGAGTCTGAAACATTTTTTATCGGTTTCCAGTCTGGATTTCAGATTTTCTTGGAAGGTAACAACATATAATTTACAATTTTTAAGTGTGTATAAATGACCAGTCAAAATGCCATCAAATGTACCCTTTATTGAATCTGGAAGGCGAAGAGCAGTATGGATTTAATCGAGGCTGATTCAGAAAGTTTCTTCTGTTAGGTAAGACTGCACGTTTAGAAAACTGACAGAATGTTGGTTTTAAAACTCGAAGGTATGGTGTGAGGGGATAACAGAACTTTGAATTTTGATTTCCAAGTGGCTTCAAGAGTTTACAGTGCATGTATTATCTGACGTATACTGGGGAAGAATGGGGCCCTGCCTGTTTTCCATTTATAGATTTGCGTTCTAACCTTCAGCATTGAAAGAAATACTTCTCAGTTATCATCATTCCGTTCACGGAAGTCTAATCAGTCAGTAATCCGTTTTAAAAAGCTAAAAAAAAAAAGGTGAACAGTGCTTTGCCTGGATGATGAAAAAGTTTAATTTTCCTCAATGATTTACCCATTTTATCTAACAGTGCAGTTGACTTTCGCCGGTTACTGCTGCGTAGCTATTGTGACCACATATCTGCAAATGAAGGAAAATTTTTTTGGTTTGCTCTTGGTCCTATACACACACGCTTGAGCATTCGGTTTTTAGTAGAAGTAAGGGAAGAAATTCGGCATTCTTCTGGGAAGCATCTGTGTTTGAGTAAAATTTGCCGCGAAAGTTTACTTCTGTGAACTGTTGTGATTTTAAAACTGCCATAGATTTATTGCCAAACCCAGTGAGAGGATTGTAATTCGTAACAAAACTCGCTTTAATCCAAATACCGAAT